CGGGTCGGCTGACAAACTTGGGCGGCATGCAATCATCGGCAATTGCCCGGGCCATGAAGTTGCCCAGCAAGACTGGCGCCTCCGGTGTGTCCAGTATGAGATCGGGAAGATTGGCCAGCACCATGTTGAAGCCCTTCTCGATGTCCTTGCCAGTGATGACGCGACCATAGAGATCGGAAATCAGCACCGAGGTCATCTCCCGCTGCGAGTCCTTGTGATCCATTGCAATCTCAACCAGAATGCTAGTGATATGCTCCCGCAACGGACTTTGCAATATCTCATCGAAACTGACAGCCACCTCATGCGTATCCCCGTGCTCATAGTACTCGAGCACAATGGGCTCGGCGAGCTTGAAGAACTCCTCGGGAGTGAGTTCGGTGATGACCTCGCGCAGCTCCACATTCCGATCGTTGACCTCGCTGTCATAGTTGGGATCATTTTCGTCCTCGTAAACCTCGGCCAGCGCCTCCGAGCCTGGCAATCCCCATACTCCTTTGCCGCCGGCGCCACCTTTCTTGGGCAGACCGCGACCACGCGTCAAATTGCGGGATCTTCGGCTATTCTTCCAGCGACGATGCGGCACCACATAGCCTGTGCCAGCTGGCAACATGCCGTTGGCCAGCGATGAAAGGGTCGAGTTGGCGGATGCTGGAGCAGCACCGCCACCAGAAGCAGCGACGCCATTGGTCAGCGCTGTGGCGGAGGTGCCACTGCCGCTTCCGCTGCCGCTGTTTTGTCTTTGGATGAGGCGTTTGGCCTTGCGTTTGATGCGCCCATCGTGGCCATCGCCCACAGGCAGCGGCTTCTTTATGAGCCCGCCTAGATGGCCATTGGAGGAGCTACCGTTCAACTCCACCGCCTCAATTTCGCCATTCAGCTCGCGTTCCACGGAGCTTTCCTTTGAGTCGGAGCCACCGTCGTTGGTGGAGACGTCGCCATTGGCTTTCTTATTAATATTGGACTCTAACTCCATACTGTTGGTATCTATCCTTCTCTCTCTGTCTCTCTTTTTATCTGCTCTCCCTCTCTCGACTCTCTTTTACACTATATGTTTGGATCTTCCTTTGGTTTAATCCCTTTCTCTCTCTTGCTCTCCTCACTGCTGCTTCTACTTGGAATGCACAACAACAGTTAGAGTAAGAAACACAGTTGCCTCTCTTTCAACCTTTATTTCTTTCTCTCTCTCTTTCAATATTTCTCTTTGATTTTCAGAGTTATGCTAGTTGGTTGATTGTACTGTGTGACCAGGTGCTACACTTTCCTTGTGTTCCTTGTTGTGTTTGCCTGCTTCCGTTATGATCGGCTGTTGTAAAACATAAGTACAAATATATCAAGAAATATTAGTCGGCGCCTGCTAAATTTAAAAATATATCTATATATATAAAAAATATATATGTATGTAATTTAGTGGTATCAATAGATTATCAACAGTAACTATGTACAAACATATGTATATGTATGTGCATATATTTATCGCTTGCTTTTAAATAATTAAAAACACACAAAGTATCAGTTATCGGAATACCCATGGCAATTTTAAAACCCTAATTAATTTTTTGATAGTCAAAAGCATTTTAATAGGAAATGAAAATGATTTGATAATCGCATCGTTCGAGAACATTCTCCTCGATTGTTCAAAATCGATTTCTCACTTCTTAAGTAAAGATTGCTATTGGCTTATCGGACCTTTTGTATCATTCACAACTTGCCAATTCTTGTCAAAGGTCTCCAGAGTATTGCGCCACCTATTCATAATTATATATTTACTCAAGTACATATGTATCTATAAACACACATACATATAAATTTACATATGTTTACATGTTTGTTGTCGTTTATTTTTTTATAAGCACAACAGGCGATTGACTAGACTAGAAAAGGATGGCAATAGCGATACGGCGGCGGTCACATAAAAACTATAAATAAACACATATTTTCACAAGAGTACATTCATACATATTTGTTTTTGTTTTGTTTCCTTTTGTTATTATATTCGTTTCTACATATGTATGTGCCGCTATTCATGCAAAGAAACTGCTAAATGGAATATGCCTATAAAGCAACAATATAATTGAAAGCTAGAGCAACTAATAAAATGTGAGTCCATACATATACATACATATGTACATATATTTATAATTATATATATGTACATGTAAATATAAAATGATATGTATGCATGTGTGTTAAAAGCGTACAAATACCACGTACACCGCCTTACGCCGCTCAATATGTGTATGTATGTATGGAGGCGTTGCCATATGAAGTGTTTTCACATGCAAATACATTCGTACATATACAGACAATGCAGGAGACGCATATGAGACTCCCTTAGCTCCCTGGGCTATTTCAAGGTCACACACACATCAAGCAAAGCTGCTGCCGTTAGCTTTGCAACCCTCGCTGTTGACTAACATTATTGCCATCTCGCTTGCTTCCAATAAGTGAACTTAAAACGGAGTTATCACATAAACATATGCATGTAGATATGTGCTTGTCTATATATGTAAGTATGTACATATATCGATTTACATGTGTACAACATATGAAAGAACTGCACCGTTTCTTTGATTTTGTCGTATTACTTTATGCAAGCCCTTACATGTGCAGTATTAACATAAATACATATGTACATATACATCTGTATATACATAATACAATGTTTTTGCGTCGCCTGTCCCTCTTTTTCCTTATGATGTACATACATACATATGTATATAGGCAGCACACACACACACGCAAATGGATTGTATGCTGTAACCGGTTTTATGTTTGTTTTGCCCGGTTTAACCTTGAAATTTATTCCCCTTACAAACTTTCTATGTATTGGCGCATTGCGTTGTTGTTATTGCTACTGTTTCGCACTTGTTGTGCCCCCCACCGAATCGCAAGGCAGCGGGCGTGCCCAACTCAATTTTTGGCAATGTTTATAACATAAATGCGTGAGTACACATTAGCTATCTCTACATACATATACATATGTATATGTACGTGTGTGATTTGCTGTTGTTTTGGTGCGTGCTTGTAATTGTTTTCAAAATTCCCTGCAGAAAGCATAAAACGATGCTTCGCAGAAATTGCGTCGCAAAAAATTGAGACGGCTGCAGAAGCAGCAGCAGTAACAACCACGATGCATGCTGCATGCAAATATATACATATGTACATTTGTATTCGTTTACTCTACATCCATAGTGGAAGATTTTTCATTTATCATTATTTGTCATTTATGAATTTGGATACTTATGTATGTACATACATATGTATTTACATACCTATATATATAGTTTTAGGCAGAATTTGTCAAAGTATCAATTACGAAAAATGTAAACATCATCTCAGGCCGAATACCAAGATTTCAGTTAATATGCTGCTTCTTGTTGTTTAACAAAAAAGAACACCAATATTTCCAGTCTTTATATGTAACTATAGAAATATATGTACATATATATGCATAAACAACATGAGATGTACAAAAACCAATTTGCGACAGTGGCAACGCCAAATAGCAGCGAAAAGTGCATGGAAATGTGGAATGAGCTGGAAGTTCGCCGAATAAAAATACAGCGAGCATAAGAAGAGGAAGAAGAAAAACAAGTTGGCGCGCATGTTTGTATTCTCTGGCCGCACTCTCTCATGATGCGTGAATCTGTTTGTCTGTGTGCGTACATGCCGGCCGAATTTATCACGTACGCCACGCCACATACTACATTCAAATATTGCGACCCCTAACAATACAAAATCGAATTTTGAAGCTACGAATTTTGGCTTCAATTCGAAATTGATTGATACACTGACATAGGCTAGTTAACCGCATGAACACGAAGCGCTTTTAGTTTAATGCTGCTGTTATATATGCATGTATATTCATATACATATGTATGCATGGGTTGTACATGTGTTGAGTGGGCAAGTAATTGCTTTTTATTTTAAGCTTATTTTCGTGTTTGCTTTGTGTCACTTGCCGGTAAATGCCGGTTTTATTTGTTTGTATTTTACATAATTTTCGTTATGTATTTAGAAATGTACATGTATTTTATATATATGTATCCAGATGAGCCATTATTCTTTACTTACCTCAGAGTGTATACTTTTTGATTGCGTTTTGTGCTCTTGTCCGTTTGCGGCCTTACACTCGCGGCGACAACAACAAAAACAACGTCGACGCTGGGCTAAATGCAGCTACGTCGACGGCGATGTTGGCGCGCTGCAATTGCTGGAGCCTGTTTTGTTTTTGTTTGGCAACTTGCTTTTGACGTTGAGATTCGTCTGTATATAGGGGGGGGTTTTATGTGTATGCGAATGTGTGTTCTCTGCTACGCGTGGGTTTGATCGCAATAGAATGCACACAAAATGCAATTGGAAAATATATTTAGATGTATATGTTTGTTTTTATTTTCAACCATTCACTTTCAATGTAAATAACTTGCAAAAAATATCGTATAATCACCGATGCGACGGCGTTTATAGCAAAAAATGCCTATCAAACACCCTCACAGTTAACAAATTGGAGCCTGCAATGCACTTATACACACATACGTTCGTATGTATGAAAGGGCTTGATTAGCGCGCTGCAGTTCGTGTTCCAATTCAAGTTTCTTTCGCAATTCAATATTTGTGTTTTGGTTCAAATTGTATATAAACTTTTAATAAAGCTGTAGCAAAATTGAATTTTTAAATGGTTAAAGGTGATTGGGAAATAAGATTTCAAATATCCGTAACGAAGCGAACACGACGAAAATTCCACTGAGAGTAACATCTGTTGGTCAGTGTGTCTGAAAGTTGATATCGAAGGTAAACAGATTGGTATTATGAATCTAAACCAAAAATACTAAAATAGGTGCACATATATAAAAATACCAGTTGAGGCCACACTGTTTTTGGTGTTGCCACATGTGGTAACACGCGCGCGAAAGAACAATTTGTAATGTACGTAATGCAGATTTTTACTACCTCCAAAATCAGCTTAAAATTACCAAGTTTAACATGTATTTATAAGTAGAATTTAATATTTTTGTCGTTTCGTCGTCATATGAATCTGCATACTTAAACCAAATAATGAATTATTTAAATTTATTCAAACGGATGCGTTCGCTGTTGCGGAAGTCTCGGCGCTGAGACGCAGAACCACCGTGTATATTACGAATAACTGGATTCCTTACACAATAGGCTTGTGGATCATAAGAAGGAACTGGTGGCTCCTCATCCCAGTTTTCACTTGATTCGACGACATCAGTCACCGGGGCACGTGGTTCTGTTGGCGGCAACATGTCGGCATGTTTGAAGCGAGCATAGACCCTACGAAAATCACAGCTAGCAACATGTTCCTGTAATTAATGTAAATGGCTTTTTAAGGAATTATATCTTTATTACAGCCATGATAATACTTACATGTAATTCATCGGGCTTCAGCATATGGGTGGTGTTGAACGGACAGCGGACCAATTTAATACTAGAATTATTCCTAGCACAACGGATCAAATGTAAAGCCAAACGGGAAGGCAATATGCGATGAACTTTGTCATAAGGGCAAACGACGTAGTTCTCATCTTGATCTTGAAGATCAGCACTCAGTTCCGAGAATGCACTTTGCATATTACTTTTATCCGCACGGTCAGACATGATTATTAGAAATTAATTGCGAAATAAAAAATGCCGCTCAAGTAACGTCTAGAGATGAACGATAGGTGAAGTCGCGATTTTCAATTGCATCTGCAAATATCAATAGTAAATTATAGAGTTGCATTGCACTTAATCTATCGATGAGATGGTTATCGAGAGTATGACATCTCTATTGTTTACAATTTGGACGCACGTGCAAACACGAGGAAGCTGTTTGATTTAATTTGTGTATATAAAAATATTACCAAAAATGCCGCCTGTTGCACAAGAAGGCAATTGCCTTATATATCGCGGCAGCAACTTTTTGAAGCAGCGTCTTGTGCTGTCCTGTCTGAGCGGCAAGCCAGTTAAAATTACACAAATTCGCGCCGAGGACGAACAGGCGCCCGGCTTGCGCGAATACGAGATCAGTCTGATACGTTTGCTTGACAAACTTACCAATGGTACCAAAATTGAGCTAAATCCTGCTGGTACCAGTGTCATGTTCAGTCCTGGCCTGCTGCATGGCGGTCAATTGCACCACGATTGCAGCGTGCAACGCGGCATTGGCTACTTTTTGGATGCTCTAATTGCACTGGGACCCTTTTGCAAGATGCCGCTGCAGTGTACGCTGCGTGGAGTAACAAACAGCAAAGATTCGCCTTCGGTGGATCATATTAAAGGTGCTGGACTGTCGCTCTTGAAACGTTTTCTATTGGTCGACGAGGGTCTGGACTTACGTGTCGTGCGCCGTGGTGTTGCGCCACTGGGCGGCGGTGAGGTGATCTTTAGCTGTCCCGTGCGCAAGAGCCTGCGCGCCATACAATTCCAGCAGCAGGGCATGGTCAAGCGTATTCGCGGCACTGTGTACGCCTGCAAGGTATCACCGGCAATGGCCAATCGCACCGTGGAGTCGGCAAAGGGTTGTATGCTTAAGTTTCTGCCTGATGTTTATATCTATACGGATCAAAATCGTGGAAAAATGTCTGGCAATTCCCCAGGATTTGGCATCTGCCTGCTGGCCGAGACGACAGACGGCGTTTGTTTTGCTGCTGATTGCATCTCTAACACTAGGGAAGAGTCGGTACGTATTTAATAACCATATTCGCACTACGATCTTTACTAATGCTAGTTTCTTTGTCTTGCAGGACTCGCCAGCCATACCAGAAGACATGGGTCGAGACGTCGCCATGCGTCTTTTGGATGAAATCTATCGTGGTGGCTGCTGTGATGCTGCCTACCAATGGCTGGCCGCTCTCTTCATGGCCCTGGGCCAAAAGCACGTCTCCAAATTCTTAACAGGTGCTGCAACAACAAGATATATACACACATAGAATTTCCCACTCACGCTTGACCACTGTCCTCTCTCATGTTTCAGGCCCACTATCCACATATACGGTGCACTTTTTACAGCATCTGCGCGACTTTTTCTCAATCACATTTAAGCTGGAGAACCCCGAGGCCGATGATGATGAGGAGGATGATATGCGTGGTGCGCAAAAGGTGCTAATGACCTGTGTTGGCATTGGCTACACAAACATCAGTAAGCGTGTTTTGTAGATTTGTTATAGTTTTAATCTAGATACGACTAAATAAACCAATCAATTTATATATATATTGAAATGGATTTAACGAATTTATACATGCGTGTAAAGGATATTACCTACAAGTCGCATTTTATGGGGCGTATTGTCCTAAAGGCCACATAAATGTTTATTTGTGAATATAAGAAATCTTGTTTGCATCATGGATCAAATATTCAATTTATTTGTCTACCGAATTCAGTATTCGCCTCTGATCCAGGTTAAGTTCTGTGGCAATTCCTTATACAAAACTTTTTTGAAATAATATTTTACCTGATTTTCTGAATATAGACGTCTAGTAATAAATATGTAAAATAAATGAATAGGCAATTATTTGTGGTAAATGTTTTTATTTAAATTGATTACTTATTGCTGGCTTATCATCTGGATTTCCATTAATTATTAAGAAAGTATTTCTACATATTCATATCATTCAAGCTAAAGAGAGTAATTTTTTTGTTTATATATTTATATTGCCCATATATGTTGGATTCGTTGCGATCGCCCCACTGCTTAATGTAATTAGCAGGCAATTTTGGTATTCTCAAATGTTATGCAATTTAAACAATATCCGCTCATGTATATATTATCATATAAAAAAATTGCTGAGGTAAATTAATTTTTGATTAGACAAGCAAAACGAGTCAAAAGCTGAACGTGCAATTGACTGCATGCTATATATACAAAGCGATATTTTTTCTGAATATTTATTTATCAATATAGATGTATATATAGGTATATTTAAAATTAATAACCCAACAACGAATATTAGGTTTAATCCCAACTGAAAGTTTGTCATAGTACTTGGCTTATCGGCGACGACGATTAGTCGAAAGTTATCGATATGTTGTCAATCGAAATGTGGTCACACTCCTTGCAATCAAATGTGCACAACTATGTTGCAGGATGCGTTGCAATTTTGTAATCAGTGGCGATTGCAAACGATTGACGGGTTCAAAAAACTAAATATGGGTTTCCAAGGGCACCGCGATAAGAAGGCGGTTGTTGCTGTTGTATTGTTGCTGTATGGCTTGCAAACTTAAACAGTTTTTGGGTCTGGTTGAGCTTTGCGACACACACGCTTGCCAAGATCAGCAAAAATGCAAATAAGCGGCAGCAACAATTTGACACCGGCGTCGTAAGCGCAGACGGGGCTATAAAAGGCAAATGCTGATGGGCAGCAGGTATCAAACGCCGATCAACGTTTGGACACCTTATTCATCTGTAGCTGTTACTTGAAAACCCTGCATTATGAGCCTGAGACTGTGCCTGCTGGCATGCCTGATTGCGGCCACCTGTGCCTCCAAGGATGAGCTGAAGCCCTCCAAGTGGCTATCCGCCAATGAGCTGGAGAATGTGCCTTCATTGAACGATATCTCCTTTGAGCGTTTGGAGAACATGCCACTGCAAAAGGGCGCCCAGTTGATGCAGAAACTTTGTAGGTGCCTTGAAGCTTACATGTTGTAATCTGAAACTAATTGAATCTCTCTCACATATAGATCACATTTCTCACATCAAGCATGATCTGACGCCCAACTTTGTGCCCAGCCCCAGCAACATTCCAGTGAAGATCGTCAAGTCCAATGGCGAGCGTGTCGAGGCCAAGCTGAACAACTATGTGGAGAAGGCCAAGGCTCAGCCCGGTTTCGGTGAAGATGAGGTTACCATTGTGCTGACTGGCTTGCCCCAGACAACGCCCACCATTAAGAAGGCCATGCGCAAGCTGGAGCAGGCTTACCTGCAGCGTTACAATCTCCAGGAGCAGCAGAAGTACGCACAGAACGAGCAGAACCAGAAGAACAAGGACTACGAGACCACCTCCAGCGAGGAGTCATCCCAGGAGTGGAAATCAGCCAAGACCACCAGCGGCAATTTGATCGTAAGCTTTTTGAGTGGAACATTATTATATTGGGAATTAACAATCCCTTGTCTTGTAGATCATCGACTTGGGCTCCACTCTGACCAACTTCAAGCGCTACGCCATGCTCGATGTGGCCAGCACCGGTGCCATGATCGCCCAGACTCTGATTGAACTGACCAACAAGGGTGTGCCCCATGAGATTATCCATGTGATTGGACAGGGCATTGCTGCTCATGTTGCTGGTGCCGCTGGTCAGGAGTTTACCGCTCACACTGGCCACAAGCTGCGTCGCATCTCTGGTCTGGATCCTGCCAAGCTTCTGGCCAAGTATCGTGACAACCTTGTTGGTTTGTCGCGCGGCGATGCCGATTTCGTTGATGTCATTCACACCTCCAGCCTGGCCATGGGTACCCCCATGCGCTGCGGTGATGTTGATTTCTACCCGAACGGACCCATCCAGGGTGTGCCCGGTGCCGAGAATGTCATCGAAGCTGCTATGCGTGCTACCCGCTACTTTGCCGAGTCCGTGCGTCCAGGCAGTGAGCGTAACTTCCCCGCCGTTGCCGCCAACTCGCTGAAGCAGTACAAGGAGAAGGATGGCTTTGGCAAGCGTGCATACATGGGCATCGAGGCCGATTTCGATCTGAAGGGCGATTACATTCTGGAGGTCAACGAGAAGAGCCCCTTCGGCAAGCGTGCTCCTGCCCAGAAACAGATCTCATATCACGGCCTGCGCCATGAGGTCTAAGTCACCAACAAAAACAACGAAATTGCATTAATTAACAGAAAACAAAACCATTTTTAATATATAATAATAACAATCAATAAATAAACAGAGCATATTTTCTAAATTATTGTGCAGCCAGTGTGAATATTCTCTTTAAGAACAGCCAATTGATGCGCTAATGTTGCATCAATTATTGAAACAACAAAAAGTTTAATCAAAACTTAAAGTTCCTTTAAAATTAACATTAAGATAGATCATTTTGCCTTACTTGCATTTATGAAAATCGCATAGAAAGGCGTTATAAGTGTTGCTTAGCTTAGTTGCTTCCTTTTTAAATTACATCTGATTTCTTTTTAGGTAATCCAGTACAAGGGAGAGAGAGAGAGAGAGACAAAAAGAGAGAGAGAGAAAGCGTGCCGAAACAGTGAGTAGGAAATTAGAATTAAAATATATATTCGCGAGGTAGATCTTTCGCTGGTGCAAGTATATATTTTCAAATTTAAGGTCTAATGTCTATAAGATATAAGGTATTCGGGTATCTTACGACTTAAAGCTTTAAATCGAATTGTTTGCGATTGTATATCTTTTTTTAAGTGTAAAAGGGGCTGCCCCTTTTTTGTTTATTGCAAAGAGTGCGCAGTTTTTAACTGCCAAGTTATAGAATATGTTTAAATATGATATGCTGATGTCTTAAATTATGAGACCAGAGATTAGTTGAGGTAATGATCAGTTGGTTCCTTTGAATAAATGTTACGTTTAGCTTGGGATTTATTGTTTGGTCCCGTTTTATTGACATCGTTGGGCTGCGGCCAGTCCACATTGATGTTGCCTTTGTCCGGATCAAGGTCATCCCATTTTCTGGTGGGCGACGGCTTCTTATCGAATAAGGATAAAACATTTTTGGCTGCCACCATATTATCCTTGGCCGTATAATTGTTATGATTGATGGGCGCAACGATCCCAAATGATTGTGTGAAGCCCCGTGGACGACTGCGTCCCTGACGGCGTTTGGCCTTCGAATTTGGCGACATGGAGGCGATATAATGTTGAGCAGCCGCTGTGTCGGCATCCTTCAGCTCCTGGCCCGCCTCCTGTTTGCCCCTATTGTTGCGGCCCATTGGATTCTCGTTTGGGCCATGAAACATTGGGCATGGCTCCCGAAATCGCGGCACGCCGCCCTCCGGCTGCTTCGACGAGAGCCAAGCATTTATATTGGCATTCCGATTGTACATCTGCCTCTGGAATCGCGGCGGTATGGCGCCCTCGGGCCCATAATTCGGATTGTAGAATCGTATACCATATGTCGATGGCATGGCCTGCAATATAAGTAGAAGCGTAATATTCAACTCGGCCCGGCATTTGATGGCTACTCACGTCGTCCAACGGATCGTAACCATCCTCGGTGTCGACGGTGTCCTCATCGACGGACACATTTTGCAATAGCGGATTTGCCGGATAATCCGGATCTCCAGCCGAATTGAAACTATCCAATGGCGGTTCCAGCAACTCCGTATTATAGAGTGCTCCATTCACATAGACATGCTTGCCTTTCGGCTGCACCACGGGCACGCTGCAGTTAGCCGTGCTGGGCTTGTTGCACAAGGTATGCATGCCCTGGGCTCCGCCAACGTACACCACAGGCTGCTGTGCCAGAAGGGGCGGCGGAGGTGGCAGCGGCATGTAGGCCATATTATACGGCGCATAGCCATATGCCGTTTGAATGGCACAGCTCTGGTAGAGATGGGGCTGACCAGGGCTAAAGCTCATGCTGGGCGGCTGCTGGATATGAACGCAGGGTTGGGCAACATTTTGGCTGGCGCTCTGCGCATGATTATACAGCTGCCTAATGCCGCCAATGGCGCCCTGCGGATTGAAATTCAAATACGGCAGCTGGGCCAGGCCGTTGTGCGGTGGCGCGAAATAATTCATATTTGGCTGGGCATAATTAAACGACGGAGCTCCGGCTACGTGGCAATTGGCGGTCATATTTTGCTGCGCATGTGCGTATAGCCAATGCAGTGCGTGCAATTGCAATAAATTGACTCCTTTCGGTTGTTGTGGAGATGTGGAAAGTGGCATTTGGTATTGTGCTTGCATGGCAATCGCTCTATTTATATATATTTTTTCTTTGTTTACTTAGATCTTCTCGAGCTTTGTGCTGGCCTTTTGAGGTTAGGTTCGCAGCATAGAAAATAAATGTTAAATTTGTTATTTGTAAAGAAATACGTTAGGAAAATCGTGTACTTACGCTATTTTATTTTGCTGCTGCCCTTATATATTCCTTCCGAATGTCGAAATGTCGAAATCTTCAACTACAAGTTATAATTTTTGTTTTTCTTCCTCTTCGCGTACTTATTGCTCCTGCCGTTTCTTTCAAACAGAACGAGTACTGCTCGCGGGACTGTACTCATCCCCATTGTAATCGATTATTGTATTTTTAGCTTTAGGATAATCAATAATATCATCCTTAATATGGGATTAGCGTCGCAAGTTTGAAAGCTGCAATCAAATATTTATTTATTTCTTTTTCCGATTTTTCCATGTTTTGCAATTTACTTTAACTTTATTTCTATAGCAGTTCTTTGGAAAACTTTCAAGAGTTTGTCATTTTATCAATTTTTTAAATAAGTTTGCCCGCTCTACTGAAAATATTGCAAGCCGTAGATGTTTTCATATAGAAAGTTCGGGCTAGATTTGATCTGTACCCGAAATTGGCATCTACTATTTATTTGTAGTTAAGTATTTAATTTTAATGCAAAATATTTTTGAAAAACTCGGTTATAGGAGAAAGCTTAATTTTATATTTGGAGCGTGGGAAAGCCAGTGCTGCTGGTTATATAGATATATATATATATATATATATATATATATATAAACCTTATGGGGTCGGACGAAGTAGGTCATCGAACCGAAAAAGTTATTTCGGAAAAAAGCTACATTTTAAAATTCGATTTCCAAGAAAAACGGAATGGAACAGAATTTATTGTTCGATATATCGATATAAAAATCGGGCTCCGAATATCGATATTTTCGATATGAATTACTCAAAGGGAAAAGAACAACAAGAAAAACAAATTGCAGCACAAAATAGAAATGTTTGTATCAGTTAATTGAAGGTCAAGGAAGGGATTTGAATAAACCGAAAAGACACGGAGAAAATAGGTTCACAGATTACGCCGTGCCTGTAGCACGGACAACGGTTCCGCTGCTCAAATAAAATCAATACAAGGGCAGTGGCATCGCCGAAGCGCAATGGGTGCGGAGCACTCGCAACAGCGCATCGAGGCTGACGGCCAAGAGATCTTCGAGAGACGCGACCCGACACTGTCCGCTGACCAACCATCCAATGCAGCGTGCGCCGTTCGCATGAGCGATGGCAGCGCCATGGCTCTAACGGCGGCCGCAACGGCAGCCACAAACAAGCGCCGAGGCGGCGCCGTCCAACAGAGACAGCAGCAGCAGCAGCAACAGCAGCAACAGCAGCAGCAGCAGCTGCAAACGTTGCCGCACGGACCTGGCAATGGACCAGCCAGCATTGTGATTGCCAGCAAGCAAATCATTTCGGATACTGCCTCGCCCACTAGTTCCGAGCTGAGCCGGCCGCCCTCGCCGCCGCTGAGCGTGTGCTCGGATCTGCCTTATGTCTCCTATACGGATCGACCCATCGGCGATTCGCCAAAAATACGCAACAGGCCCGCCCACATGCTGCAACAGAGCAGCGCTAGTCGTGCCGCGGCACGGAAATCACATCCCGGTGGCATGACCACTGCCATCAAACCAAAGCGACCGCAGTCGACGGCCTCCAGCCACAACATTGTGATCGTCAAGCCGGGCACACGTGATATCAACGATGACATCGATCCGGATTTGCAGCGACTGCGCAACATACCGCAGTTTTTGCCCGTGCTGCGCGAGTCAATCAGTTCGGCGACATATACACGAGATACGGAAATCTTGGAGCGCCTGCATTCACAGCATTTGCTTAATATATGCGGCCGCATGCAGACGCATTTAAATCTGTGCGCCAGCCATGTGGCCAGCGAACAGAATCACCTGGTCGAGCGCACCAAGGTGGTTAGCAATTCGATAACGACGCTCTTCGCCAGCTTTGTGGATATGCAGAAGACGTACGCCTCGTATGCTGAACATTTTGCCAAAATTCGCAGCGTTTCGCAGCAGCTGAGCCGCTGTAACTCGCTGCTGCATGAGAATATTGCCAGCCTGGAGGCCATCAATAATTTTCTGGACGATGAGGATCGCCTGGAGCCGTTCGTCTGGCGCACCGATGACAACAAGCTGCGTGGCGAGGCCGAGGGCGCCGCCGGCGGCAATAGCAATCGCCTGTGGCGCCTCTAGGTGCTCCATCCAAAGATAGTTTGTTATTAGTCTAACTCTTAACTCGTTTCATGTATTTATTGTGTACATTAACTTTATACTTATATATGGTGTATCCAATTGCGTGTGTTGAATTTGTTCTTAAGGTTCATTCGGAACTGTTGTTGTACCCTCAGCCGATCTCGTGCATTTGCGTAGTCCACTCCTTATAATAGTCTGTTCCATTCGGAACTGAAACCACTTTGTGTAAATATTAAAAATATTTAATAATAAACTCTAGCAATATCTAATACACTAACAGCATTTGCTGTTTTTATCTCCCTAAATTCGCTGTAATTTTATTAAAGGACTAGCGGGTATAACCCGGCTTTGCCCGGGTGTTGACCCATTGCCCGCCCCTGAGAAATTGAATATAATCCATAAATGTATTTTATTTTATTTATATATATATATATATATTAACAGATTTTCACAAAGCTTCTGAAAATGAGTTTACAAGTCGATCGGTATGCATAACAATTTTATCCAACCGTATCCACCAATTTTTCACTGTTGCGGGTGAAATTTCCATAATCAGTGCAACACATATTCATGAAGCTCTTATGTAGGGCTTTCGCATTCTGATAAAGATCCTTTGATATGACTTTGAGCCCAAGTGAGTTTTCCCAAATATCTTTGCAAATAAATTATGGGGCCAATCGGCTGATAAATAACAAACTCATACATCAATTGTTTTTCGCGAATTTTCCACACTTGCGCGTGGAATTTTCGCAAGCTCTGTTTTATCATGCACATATATTAAATAGGTTAATTACAGTACAAATTTTAGCTTCCCGCTTCAATCAGGACAAACAGTTTTATATATAGACAAAAATATATATATATATATGTATATATAAAAAAAACATATTTCTAAACTGTATGTTAGCTCGTGTCGCAGTGAACAGAATTTAATAATGAGCACGCCGTACTCGCGTCTCTTTCATATGTTATTTGTTTACGAAAAACTGCACATTTCAGGGAAAGTCAAATAATTACAAACTACTTGTGAAATAATATTTGTACAGTTTACCATTAGTTTACTTCGCCAAGGTGCGAAACTTTAAATCTAATATCTAAGTTACAATTACTTGAGTAAATAAGATCGAATAGTTTCTTAGTTGCAGTTTTAGGCGTCAACTTTACAAAGAAAACGTGTTTGTTAACAACAATTAGCTAAAATTTATTACACATACATACAATTAGATAGATCTTAGGAGTCTATATAGAACTAGTTAGTACACATACATTTCGTATAATTATACAGACATGCATGCATATTGAATGCATATTTGGCTTCAACATTAATTAATACTCTAATATACACATATAAATACAACATATACATATTCGTTCATAATATTTGATGAGTCGCCTCTAGGAGTCGGTTTAATGGCTGGCAGAAACCGTTTTACATGATAATTCCAAATGTTTAAAATATTATGCAAATGCCAATAGGATGGAGAGAGAGAGAGAGTGTGAAATACGGTTTGAATTCATTGTCGCCATCTCTTTCGTGCACTTGCTCGTAACCGTGCCCGTCCACGTTCACGTCTGCGTCGACGTTTCTGGATAGCCACGAATAGCGTCTTATATAGGGTCCAGCAGCAGAGCAGCTGATTAAAAATCAAACAGAGCATAATAAACCCCTTGGAGCAGTGCATGGCCAAAGAGTAGACGTAGCTACCCTTTAGCCAAAAGAGAAAAGCATTGGCTAACTGTTAACGCTGCGCATAGCTGCTCCAATAAACAAGGAGCATGAGCAGTATGTTAGCGCAACTTATATTCTAGAAGAGCTTTTGCATATGGATGCGATCCTGAACGTTGCGTTCATGCTGCTGCTCCTCAATGGCCTTCAGCTCTCGGGCAACGGTTGACTTCAGTGTTCCATCCAAGCCCAGCGCATCGATAAAGTCGCGGCGTGCCTGTGCCGGATTCCATGCGCCCGCATGTGCCTTGGCACGGCGAAACAGAGCCTTCACATTGCGCGGATCCAGCGTGAGCACCTCATTGCAGTGCTCAATGACGGCATAATAGTCACCAGCAATCAGACGGCACTGGGCGTAGTTGAGTAGCAGTGGGGTCTTAATGCTGGCCAGCTGCTGCCACTCTTCATCGTGTGGCTTCTCCTTGAGCATCAGCTGCTCGACCATGCCAACCGCATCGCGATAACATATCTCCGCCTCGGCATACTCGTGCGCCTTATAGTGACGATTCCCACGCTCCCGCAAGGTGTGCGTGGCGAGCATTTTCTCATCATCGGACATTTGCCAGCGCTCCTTCTCATACTCTTCGGGCAGCTCAATGGATATTAACTCGATGATGAACTCCAAATCGACAGGCCTTTGCAGCAGCTCATCCAGATCCTCGTAGCCCATGCCCTCGTTCTGCAATGTCATGCCGCAGCAATGACGACGCTCCTCCGGTTTTTTGCCAATGTCGCGCAGCGTTTTCGAAATGAACGGATACTGGGCACAAAGCTGTATGGGAAATTATGGAATTTATAGATATATATGTGTACATATGTAATGGGGTCATTGCTCCTTCCAGGACTCTCGCTGTGCGCTTACCGATTTGTGTACAGTAAACTTGGCCACCTCGTTTAGGGACATTTTCTGCACAATCACCTCCCACACCTCCAATTTGAATTTCTTGCCCAGCACCAGCTCCATCGGCTTGTTAATTTTCTTGCTATCGTCCACGATTCGCACATCGTTGGCCCGACGTGTTTGAAAGTGGAATTTCACCTGCAAATCGAATTTGTGTCATTTACTTCCTCAGGCCAGGGTTGGCCTTGGCCCAGTTTTAATCCGGGAATTGAGTTGAGAGCACAACTGTTGCCTCATATCATTTGCTTACCCTGGTGCCTGGCTTTAGTTCGATGTATTTGTTGCCAGGATTTAGAATTTCCTTGACTATGGGCTTTGCATTATTATCTAAATCCACTTGTTTCTCCATTTCGGTGTTATTTCTTTTCTTTTTTTTTAACTTTTCAAGCGACCTTGCAAATATTGCTACCACTCGTTTTTACTGTTCTTGCCCAACAAAGGACAACAAGCTACACTAAAAACAAAATGCAAATATTCTAGACCTGACTAGTGATGAGCAGGTGCTTGATAAGGTGAAATGTGGCAACGCTAACTAATCGATTGTTATTTTTACTATCGATATATGTATATTTGCATCTTTCGTAATTTGAATTATTTAACGTCATTCCAGGTAATTATTATTTGGCTTATTTGTAATATTACAAATAAGTTAAATTGACGAACAAACAGAATATAAAAGTGTATGCCACTTTGATTAAGGACGCGATACAATTTTTGATTTACGAAGATTTTTGCATGTCAAGCGCCAATGCATTGTATGATAGCTATCGGTTAGCCGCCTAATTTCGACCAGTTAATCGAATGCAACAGCAGACAGCGTTGCCATATTGCAGCCAAGGGTTGCCAGTTTCTTTGAACACTGTCAGCTGGCAAGTCAGCCGTCTGACCGCCAACTATGAACTATGTTACGTTTTCCCCTTACTTTATTCGGTCGCGTGTAGCGTAGCCTGACAGTTGTCTGCGCGCGCTCTGTAGTTTGTTTAATAGCTAAAAGACCGTTATACGAACAGTTTAAGAATTGGAAATTATTTGCATTTGCCTAAGCTGAATGCAATTGAATTGTTAGTACATATCGTCATAAATGTTCTAATTGTTTTTTTTCGTGTGTGTGTGTGTTAGTGCGAGTGAGCTGTGTAAAATTGATAATAATAAAAACATTGCATCTTAATTACAATCTCAACGACCGCATCACAATCAATTACAGCCAGACAGCTGCTCTCAAGTTTTGCAATTTAAACAGTCAAAGCTTCGCGCCGCCGTCTACTTAAAGATTGCGTCGCGCCCGCCACCACCCACTCCACAAAATATTAAATTCAAATACAAATACACAAATACTCAGACTCGCTTATGCATAAATATATATACATACATATATTGAACAAGATGATATATTCAAATGTCTCTTGTTGTTGTTGCCGTGTTGTAGTATTAATTGCTTTTCTAAACAATTCAATATTTGTGCGGGCATGCATTGCGTATGCGTAATATTCAATACAAATGTTTAACTGTGAACTGAACTTGAATTTCAATTAGAATTCCGATTTAAAAAAAAATTGAAAAATAACACATTAAATATACAAAATATTATATGTACCTTTCAAAAAAATTGACTTGACGCTGGTTTTTAGACCACCTGAGAATCTTTTCCGCTAGCGTGGGCGTGTGCTATGCTCTATATATAATTTTCGTATATATCATGCATAATTTATACAAAAATGACACATCAACACAGTCTTGTCTTTGCTTTTTTTTTTATTTGGTTTTTCTAACAGCAACAAATCTGTGGCTAACGTAAATTACATTCAAATGTTGCCTGCCTACTCAACATGGCAAAAGAGAGACAACAACAACAACAACAACAGTATATGTGTGTGTGTGTGTGTGTAGATATGTGTATTTCTATATGTATATGCATATATGATCGTGTGCAGCCCACACAGCAGCCCCCAAACATCTAACCTGCCAGTTAATAAAACTTTGGCTTTTGCTATCAATGCGATTGCCGTTTGCTTAGAGGAGCTTTTGCTCTAAGATCGTTTTGCTCTCAACTCTCTCATTTGGTTTTTTTTTTTTTTTTTTTTGTGAGTAGGCGACGCTGTTGGGGCCGGAACTCTGGCGCGAGCGAACACAGGTACACTACAAGCAACAAAAAGCAAAAACAGAAAGAAAAAACAAAAAAAACATCATAAGAAAAAACAACAAAACTCAGAGCTACAGAGATACACACAGAGATACAGTGAGACACATCTATGTTAGCTGAAGTTTTTTGTGTTCTTTTGAATGTTCGCAGTCGTTGTTCAAATTCTGCTGCGTTCTGAGGCTTCGTATGTTTTCGAACACAAACAAAACGTAATAATAATAAATAATTGCATATAATAATCATTTAAAACGCGGCACGCGACGGTCTAAATTCTCGACTGTGTGTATCAATGAATAGTTTCATTTTCTAGATTTTGTAAAAGACAACAGCTTTAACAGTAAATTAAACAACATACATACATATATATACATATATATATATATATATATATATATATATATATACTATATTAATTGATACATCAATCGGTTTTTTTAAAATTTTTTTTTTTGAAAATTTGTGCAATAAATTAAAAGTGACGCATAAGCTAAAATATTTTGAGAATATGAAAACAAGTCTTTGCACGGCGTGTGCGACTAGCAAATACCCTGTGATCCGTTCTTGTATAAACATGCATAAACATATTGTTCTATATGTACATATGTATACAATTTTTTTTTTTGACAAAATGTGTGCTAAAGGGATTACAGTTCTTTTGGATATCGCCATAATTATTATAAAACATTTTCAAATTTTTTTTTTATTTTAACAAAACATTCGAAAGTCTTGGATAATCATTTTTTTTATTTGATTTTATTAATTTCAAGTTGTTACCTATTCCCATAGGTATGGGTTATAACTAATTGAATATTTTAAAATTAGCTATCAAGCTTAACCTTCACACACACAAACACACACATGCACACACACGCCTGATCTAGCAGTTAATTATGAGCAAACATATTGTTGTGGTGCTTTTTTAATATACATATGTACATATATACATACATATGTATGTATATGCATGTAAATTGTTTTTTTGAGAATTTGTTGTCTCAGCTGTTGGTTTACCGAAGGTTTAACGCCTTGAATGCCCAGCAATTTGGTTGTAGAATTGGCTACAATTGAAGCGTTTAGCTAGAGATGCTTATTTTTATAACAGTCTCGCTGACTAATGCAGTAGCTCTAAGGTATACATATTTACTATATATATATGCACACACACACACACATATGTGCACATATATATATATATATATATATATTTATATATATGTATATATATCTTTACTGGGCGTACGCATCGTATCTTTGAAATCTCCGATTCTAGCATGTGGCCCTCATTTCTCGTATGTGCTCTCGCAGCGCTCCCTCTCTCTCTCGCACTCTCAGCCACATTTATTTTTAGACGATCGCGATCGTGTGTATTGACTTTGTGTGTGCCTATGTGTATGTGTGTTGCTCTGCGTTTGTCTACTGTGACGCTGCGCTGTTTTCGCTTTTCGGCATTTAACGGTAACCCAAAAAGAGCATCCAACAGCGTAGAGAGGCGCAAAAGTTGCAATAATTATATGCCCCGCTCTCTGATTTAACGGTTTTATTAGCACACAGTCAACACTCGCACAGGCAAGACATGGCCCAGCATATTAATTTCGAATATACATTTGTACATGTATACCTATGTACTATATGCGTATGCATGTATGTGTACTAAATCGAATGTCGTTGGCCATATGGCGCGTTTACCGCAATTCAATTTTTAATATTTTCACAAAAGCAAACGCAATTTGTATTTTTGTTTTGTTTTGGTTTGTATGACTGTTCGCCACTCAATGAATGGCAACCATCAATGAGCTTGGAATTGTCGTTGTGGCGCCCACACACAATACTCACAGTGCACACAGACACACACACGTGCGAAATGTGCATGATGCCCACTTGTCAAATGTTACCTGCGCTGCAGCGCTGTCATTATCAAACGCCAACGTCAACGTCAACACCAACGCTAAAGCGCAACCGCCGCCGACGCCGCCACCTTCATTGCATATGCAATTTTTGCAGCCACGGCTGCGCAGTCGCTGTTTGGTTTGCAACTTGACTAAACGGTGATGGTTGTCATTTGATTTTGGCAACCTGTTCTACTACGTTTTGTCTGTGTTAGTTACGTCAGCAGCAGCGACGATTGCTGCTGAGAGCAAATGCTGACGCTGCTGCTGCTGTGGTGACAGGCGGAGAGCGCGCAAATGAAAGAATCAAAAACTAAGCACATAAATAAACAAGAATTTTGGTGACTGCGAAGCATCGCACAAAATATAACAAAATGCCAAAAATCTGTCCAAAAACTTGATTTTCAATTGTACATATGTGTGTGCCTGTGTGTGTGTCGTGTGTGTGTGTGTGTCGTGTTTGTGTGCTGTCTCAATTCTTGCCGCTGGCGGCTGATTTTTAATTTCGCTGAGCTGAGCGTTTTCTCAAGTCATTTCGGCCAAGGTTGCAGACAAGAGACAACTTGAGATCATAAAATAAATAAAGCTTGTCTATGTATGTATGCGTGCATACATACATACATACATATGTATGTGTGGGTGCGTGTCTGAGTATGCGCGCATGTGTGTATTTGTTTTGACCATATGCGCGATTTGCAACGCTAAACATTCAATTTATTGCAACAGTTTAAACAACAATCAAGCCCAACAATAACAATATTAACGAAAATGCAATAAAAGTGACAAAAAATAGAAAAACAACAAAATCTAAAGCTAAAGCCAGCAAAGAAGCGACAAAAACAACAACTAAAGTAACAATAACAATAACGAAACAACACACGCCACATCATGATCAGCAGATGGTGTAGCCTACAGGCGCTGCTGCTGCTGCTCATGATGATGATGCACTGCAGCAGACACCCGACAACAAACGCCTACAACATCGATCTGCCCAGCTACGTGCGGCATCGGCATGCCAGCAATTCCATGTTCGGCTTCAGCATTGCGCTGCACAAGGCCCGCAACGATTTTACCAACTTCAACTCGTAAGTACCCCAATGAACATAGAATTTATATACATACATATATTATTTCAAATATCCCGAACCCATTGAAAGTGCGTAAGATATGTCTATAATGGCAATCCCATAACGTATTTATGCATATTCTATGATCTCATAGACTATAAGAGCTAGGTATATATCCAGAAAGTCTAACTTTCGGATTAAAAAAAAAATTAAAAATATATCATCAAATGAAATTGTCGCTGGTTCTCTTTTCCGATCCCATAAAGTATATGTACATATGGGTATAATCTTCGAACTCGGGAACTTTAAGAGCTAGATACTTGAAATTTGTTATGAAGACTGTTATATAGTAAATACATATCCAGATTGTCTCACTTTGTGATG